TGGAGACTGTCCGGGAACTCGCTCTGTAGACCAGATCCCCCTGCCTCTGCCTCCCAAGTGCTAGAATTAAAGGCGTGTGCCACCACCGCCCAGCTTATCAGAGACTTCTTTAACTGTGGGAAAAAACTGAAGTCAAGAGAAACAAAGATGGGGGGCTGTAGAGATGACACAGTGGTTGAGAGCACATACTGCTCTCCCAGAGGACCCTAGTTCAAGTCTCAGAACCCACATTAGCAGCTCCCAACTGCCTTAACTCCAGATCCAGGAGAGTCCAAAATCTCTGGCTTCCTCAGACATGTGCACACACGTGCCCATACCTACACACACACACACACACACACACACACACACACACACACACTTACTTAAAAATAATTAAAATAAATCTTTAAAAAAGAAACAAGAAACACAGTTATGTAAGCCACAGGTCCTGGGGTCTCTGAGAGCAGCGGCTATACCAAGCAGAGGAGCTTAAGCAGACAGGCAGTCTATTAGGTCTTATTGATTGACAAGTGTTCTGAGGACATGCTAAGGATTTAGTATTTTCTCCCAGAAGCAACAGTAAGCCATTAAAAGTGTGTTCATTTATTTATTTATTCAGCTATATGGTTGGATGTGGTTTACATTTAGTCTTTCATATGCTAGGCAAGTGCTCTGTCATATTGCAGAGCTTCATGGACTAAAAAAAAAAATTCTTTATGATTTATAGTAAGACCAATTATATTGTTTAAATTTTAGAGGGCTGGGGAGAGTTGCTAGAGTGTGTCCCTTTCATGTACAAGGGCCTAGGTTCAATTGCCAATACAAGAAAGAAAGAAAGAAAGAAAGAAAGAAAGAAAGAAAGAAAGAAAGAAAGAAAGAAAGAAAGAAAGAAAGAAAGAAAGAAAGAAAAAGGAAGACAAGATTACTTCAGGCTAATGCATTTATTTCACCTTGGAAGTCCTAATGTCAATAAGTCTATCACTGAACTGGTTTTACCAAATAAGGATAAACACATGTGAAAACAATTAAAATTAATTTTAGCTATCACTCCCGAGAAAAGAAAATAATCTCATCGCTCCTCAGAAAAGTTTTGCTATTCCATATACATAAGCCTCCAAGTGGCTAAAGGCTGCCTCTTTCCGTATTACACCTCAGCCCCTGGATGAAGAACCTTATGGAGCTCCAGGATGCAAGTGCGTCTGTCTGAGCAGAGTGGATTGCAATGGAGACTCTGCTGCCCCCTGGTGGCACCCGCTGCCTTTCACTGATTCTCTGTTGTAGCTCAGAAGATTGCTAGCCCATCCTGCCTCCTCTGGTGAAGACCACTGGATCTCTGCAGCACTGCACACAATGCCTCCTTGCAGCATGCAACTACATGTGCCCGTACCCACTTAACAATGAACCCCCTTTGTAGGTACAGTTTTACAACCAAAGCCTGACAGAACACGTAGGACCTGGAACTTCCTCTCTCATCTTCAGGGTCCTTTTTAACTTGTTACCTTTGAGAAAGTGATTGGGTACTATTTCAAATTTGCCTGCTAGGGATTTCAGTGATCCGTAGCCTATGCTCATGTAAAAGCATTAACTTAGACTTGTCTGCATATACATTTATTTGTTTGTAACTCACTTTAGATTTCATTTGGGCTTGTTGTTTTCTCTCTCTGTCCCTCCCTCCTTCTCTTCCCCCATCCTTCCTTTCTTCCTTCCCTCTCACTGCTCTCCTCTTCCTTCCTGTTTTCCCCATTTCATTGTTATTTGAGACTATGTAGCCCAATTTGGCTTCGAATTCACAATTTTACTTCCTCAGCCTCCCAAGAATTGAGGACTGGTGATTTGCTCATTGTCGACCTATGGAATCCCTCTTTTTTTCTAGCTGAGGTCAGATCTAACTGTCAGAAGGTCTCAGATAGTGGCAAGACTCTGCCTCTCAATGCCATCTAGGCACATAAGCATCCAGCTCATTGGCTGGACTCAGTCATCTGTACTCACGGTCTTCTGCTGAGTCCAGAGTTCCCTTGTGCAAACTCCCTTGAGTTGGGGGTTGTTTTCTCTTCCTTTCCCCTGATGGGAGGATATTACTACACATTACCATGTTCTCAAATTTCTAATTTTTTTTTACCTTAGCCTTCTGAGTGCTGGGCTTACAGGTGTGTGTCCCCACACCCGGCTTTTCTTTGTCCTAAACACTTGAGCACATAGGACATGTTGGGAGCCTGTCTACTTCCCAGCTTCTTGCTTCCTGCATGAGCCAAAGCTTGCTTTCTATGGCCTACAGCCCAGTTTGGGCTGTTTAGGCACTAGCATGCCTGAACTCTCTCCTCTTAAGTCTCGTTAGCTTAGCTGGGCAGTGGTGCCTTTAATTCCAGCACTTGGGAGGCAGAGCCAGGTGGATCTCTGTGAGTTCGAGGCCAGCCTAGTCTACAGAGCAAGATCCAGGACAGGCACCAAAACTACACAGAGAAACCCTGCCTTGAAAAACCAAAACAAAACAAAAAACTCATTAGCTTATTTATCTGTGGGTGCTCATAGGTTCCCAGAGATATGATGGCTAATATGGTAATCAATCAACCAATCAATCTCCCCCACCCCTGTGAAGAGGCAAGCTGCCTTGCTTTTCCTCATAGTCTCTTCTGTCACTCATAATCCCTCCTTTTCTAGAACAAGAGTGGACATTTCTTATTGATTTAGCTGGTCTTTGTATATAGCTCTAGATGGCCTGGAGCTCATTATGTAGAGCAAGCCAAGCTCATACTCATAGAGATCCACCTGCTTCTGCCTCCTGAGTGCTGGATTATGGTTATGAACTATCATGCTCCATTTTGTTTGTTTATTTATTTATTTATTTATTTTGAGAAAGAAAACCCTAGTCTTACAAAAGATAGGTTTGGAGCTGGGCAGTGGTAGCACATGCCTTTGATCCCAGCACTTGGAAGGCAGAGGCAGGTGGATCTCTGAGATCGAGACCAGCCTGGTCTACAGAGTGAGTTATAGGGAAGCCAGAGCTACACAGAGAAACCCTGTCTTACAAATAAACAAGAAAACCGAAGTGCTTTTGTTGTTGTTGTTTTTCAACTCTTACTGTTGCTAAAAATGTTTTTCCATTCCCGAAAAACCAAGTCTTCTGCAACACCAAGGCCTGGAAGACATCTCTGCTCTTGAAGCGATGAACACGGAATGCTGAGCTGCTTGTTTGGGGTGGAGCGATGTGCAGTGAGAACTAAAAGGAGCCTGGGGTGGGATATGTTACTATGATCCTCTCGTGTGTATGAAAAGCAGACAGAATAAAATAATACTGGTAATGCTCTCACACAATGCTCCCTCTCTGTCTAGGTGAAACTTGGTCCTTGGCCTTAAGAAGCAGCTCTTGGCTCTGTTCCTTGCTGAGATGTCAAAGAAACCCTGTCCTGAGTAAGCAGACTGTTGGAGGAGCCAGTGGTCTCTAAGAGGCTTGCCTTGTCACTAGAGGTCTGGTTTTGAGTGATGTCAGGGCTGAAGAGTTGACTTTGGACGTCAAGAGAGCTTGCTGCTCTTCCAGAGTTTAGCTCCCAGGACCTACATAAGCAGGATCACAGCTGCCTATGACTTCAGATCCAGGGGAGCTGACATCCTTTTCTGCCCCCTGTGGGCACCCGAATTCACATGCACAAACTCACATGCAGAAACAGGCACAGAGGTTTTTTTTTTTTATTTTAAGTTTAATTCTTTCATTTGGTTTGGTTCTAGTAATATGACAGTTTCATAAAAAGTCACTAATTTGCTGTGGAAAAAGAGTCAAGACACCGTGAGAGTAACACATAGTTTCTTTTATACCATGAACAGGTACAACAGAAGAATTGTTTAGCTTTCTTCTTACAAGAATGAAGCAGCATTCTCAACACACCTTTTTTTGCCTTTCTTTTCTTTTTCTTTCTCCCTCCTCCTCCTTTTTGTTTTTCCTTGTGAGACAGTCTTTTTATGAATTCTAGGCTGGCCTCAACAGATTTCAAGCTAGTAGATCAGAATGACGTGTGTGTGTGTGTGTGTGTGTGTCTGTCTGTCTGTCTGTCTGTCTGTCTGTGTCTGTGTTTAGGTGTTGTTTGTGCATGTTTCTCTGGATGTGTGTATATATGTTTGATGTGTGGTCTCTTCATCTGTAAATCTCCATCTTATTTTTGAGCTAGGATCTCTCATTTAAGCTGGAGCTCATCAATTTAGCCAGGCTGACTGGCCAATGAGCTCCAGGAATCATCCTCCTTAGCACTGAAATCACAGGTGTGTACCACCACACACAGTTTTTGTGGGGGTGCTGGGGACCCAAATTCAGGTTCTCATGCCCGAGTGTCAGTCGCGTTATTGACTGAGACATCTTCCCAGACCCCAGAGCACACATTTTAATTAGTTTGTCATTGCAGTATGTAAGACAAAAATATAAATGACCAGTTTGCAGCCCAGACATGAGACCAGGTGAGAGAAAGGTTTTAACTGGACCAGTTACTTTTCTTTTCTTTTTTTCTTTTTTTTTT